ACGGTAAGAATGAGAATGTGATAGTGAATATTATTCAAAATATTACGAAATTGGAAACCAACATTAGATAAAAATAGGATGATCTACGTTATATTTTATGAAATAAATAACTGATCGTTTTACGGACCTAGGTATTACTCAAAAAGCAAGCGATTTATTATTCAAATTCTTTATTCTCACACCTATATTTATTTATACTATCCAGGAACTAAAGAATTAAAAAAATGAGTGAATGTACTCACTGTGAATGTACTACTGTGTCTATGTAATGAGTGAATATTGGATGGCACAGTTTCAGTTTATTTCATTATAGAAATAAACATAACTTTAAAAATTTTCAAGAGTATTACAAATACTGAAGGTCTAGAGTTTGACTTCGTAAATGTATAACTTTGTACACTTACAGTGATAAAGAAATTAAAATATTAGATAAACAGAACTCTCAGACTAGTGAAAAAAAAAGCAGTACGTAATATAATTTACGCGATTACGCAATTAGCAATCGCTTTGTTACCTGAAAAACAATTTATATAATTTATATTTAAATTGAACTTATTTTTTTAACTATCTCAAACATTAGGTGATAGCGATGAAGTTCCCACCCAAAATTACGATAATGAATTTCAATGTATTCTATTGCTGTTTCAGTCCTTTTACTTTTCTTCTCCGCTTTTCTACTTGAAATTCTTTAGCCATTTTGTGTTTTTATTATCAGTTTTCTATTTTAATAATGCAAATATTACGTCAAGAATAAATAAAATGTATCTTTAAGTTACCGTATAATATTTTCTACCTTCTATTTTAAAAGTACGTTTCTATTGAAAAGATTTTACTAAAAATACTTTACCGATACGGAAGCTCTAAATCTGAATCTTCTTATTTATTGAGTTTTGTGACGTCCCCGAATGGAGCGGACTTAAGTGCAGTTTCATTGGTACGAGCGTTTGTATGGGAAACGTTACTTTACGACTATTGTTATTTACTACGAATTGTTATTTCATAGCTTTATTTTGAATAATATTAGGGATAGGATAGCACTTGATTTAGATTATAGCCCCATTTTGTAGTCACGTATTAAATCCTAAAATATGAGTTCGATTATTTTTATTTATACATTTATTATAATATGAAAATTTTAATACAGTATTTTATTGTGATTTGTATGTTGTCAACTGTATTAGTGTGTGACTCTTTATGGGTGACAAAAACTTAAGGATTTATAATCTCTGGTAATCGCAACTGAGTTTTATATTTTTGTAAAACGTTAACTTGTTTTCTATAAATAAATGTAATTACGTAAATAAAGTTAGAAAGAAGATAACGCTTAAAGTAAAAATGTTATACGTTTACAAAAATTAATTAACAACAAATTCAACCATAAAACTTTTACATGAATTGGGAAAACATATTCAAGTAAGTTACATTTTGTAGATACACGATAAAAAATATAAATTTGCATCTCGAACTTGATGCGATATTTATAGGAATCTATATGATGACTGACTCTTAAGGATAAAGATGGGGAAATATCAATGTTAGAATTTTTGTTTACACCCCAACACATTTATTCATTATATCCACCCATTTAAGTGTAGCTTTATCTTGTCGGTCAATAAACCAATAATGAACATAATATAGCCTGTTGATGAAGGTAACTCAGCTTGAAGTAACAATAACCTTTGTTGACAGATGACACTGGGTGTAAGATATTGTAATAATATCACCATCTAATGAACAAACAAAAGTTAATTTCAAAATAATAGTATGAAACCCACAACACATCTTATATAAACTGTCTTGGAAATAAATATGCTCTCTTTTCTATTCTATTTTTCTATCTCTATTTTCTACAAACCGCATTATTATTTAAAAAGGTCTAAATTTTATAAAATTATTTTAAAATTAAAATTAAAATTATTTAAATATATAAATTTATTGTAACTAAGAAGTATTTGTGAAACGCTAAGGAATTGATTTGTATCTATACATATATTTTGTAACTCAAACATTTGTATCAAATATAAACGTGACGTCTCCTTTTGTTTCCTACCGTAAAATTGCCTGTTGTTTCCTACCCTCGTCAAAGGTTTGAATAAAATGTCACTGTCGTGACTTTAGATCGACCGACATCCTTTATATGAAGTACTAACAAACGGAGATCAAGATATTTAAATGTTATCATGACATTACATCTTTGTGAGTCTCGTCTTCTTGAAATAAAAATAAACACATCTTATTGAGATCTTATTTAAACAAGGATTAAAAAAATAGATCAAATGTCTTTTAGGAAAAAGGAAAAGGTAACTAACACTAAAATACACCTACATAACAGTTCCAATAAGATTGAGCCAGCTAGAAATTCAAATGTTTTCTAGAAATAAACTACATAAAACGACAAAATCTTAATTTCGTGGGACAAGCCAATTGATTAATTGAAAATAATAATACTCTACATTTACTCAAAGTTCAGAATTAATTTACATATATCACGTTATTTATTTTAATGTTTTTGATACATATAAATAATAATAGTAGTTAATACAACAATATAAAAATTGTCTTTGTTCTAACACGAAACAGATATTTGATATATCACTTTAATTTATTTGTAACCAATTTGTCATATCTTCTCGTTACTGTCTTTTCATAAAAACTAGTTTGTTTAAATGTATAAATGTTGCAGTAATATAATTTAAACAACAAAAGAAAAAATCTGCCGTAGTACATTTAGCTGGCTATTACATAGGGAAAAGTAATTCCACGCTTTATTTTAAAAGCTATCAAAGGGAACGGTACTAAACTACTACGTTTAGCTTCAGTATATATGGAAATAAACTTTTAATTTCAATGTAATTTATTTCTCATTACATTACGTATCTTTTGTAGGTAAAGACTATTGTTTTTTTTTGTAGCCAGTCTTATACTCTATCTGTATATATATCTGTAGTCATAAACTCGTATCTTTATCCCATTCCCCACATTGGATAATTTCTTTGATTTTATAATATACATATGTAGTCGGGAATTCAGGTGTCATAATCTCCGTAGCAACAGACAATTAAGGTCGTCAAGGTACTTTCGAGTCTTCTCTCCCAGTTTAACTTCGAGTTCCAGAAGCTTTCGATAGGATTTGTCACATTGTAAACTTTGAAGCTATGGCATTTTCGCTGATCTGATTACAATGGAAGAGTACATGATGTAAGTTATGTGCAGTTTTAGAATAACTAAGTGCTGCCAATATTGAAACCTAAAAGCCTTTTCTCAGATGTTGCTTTAACCGAATACGACTTCGCTGCAACTAACCAACTCTTAAAATTACTTTTACTTCATTAATTATAAAATTAATGTAATAAAAAGAAATAAAGTTAAATAATTAATTTGTTTCAATTACGGGAAGTTGTTAGATTGAGAAACAAAACTAATATTATCACGGTTGCTGAAAAGTAATGGAAACGTTATCAGAATAATATAAACTTCATTGAAGGTGTTATATTAAATAATTATATATTTTCTTTGAACTTTAATATATGGTTTAATAAGTAATTCGAAATGCATTTGGTCACGTCCAAATTATTATATGAACTTTTTTCTTATATGATTGCGGTCTTAACCTTATCGAGTCCTCTTTAACTCTTAATTATTAAATTAAATTTAGTTGAAATAAAATATCCCCAGTCAAATAATTGGAGTTTTACTTAATATACAAAGTCTATTTTTGTATTAACGTAAAGGTTTTTATAAGCTGTAATAGATTTAACAAGAAAATAAATTAAGTTTAATCCGTTTAAATCATCAACCATCATCCACTGTAAAAAGGAATATATTTCAAAGATTAATACAAATTAATGATGCACGTTATATTCCATTTTAGGTCTCATCTCAGTTCCCAGACAAATTTTACTTTAGAATGCCTATTTTACTTACAACGCCTACTCACTGTCTCTTGAGAAATACTTTGGCACAAAATTTGCTCCTTCTCTATAGCTTTCACACAATTATACATAACCTTATTTTTAAATGTTCAGACCAATCTCACAGCGAATATATTTATTTTATATCCTCGCATTATTAGGGTAAGCTCAGGTAACCCATTTTAAATTTATAGCCTTTAATTTTGTTCCGTTTTGTAATAAAAAATTACCCATATAAAGATATTTTAGCTCTCATAAAATATAATATGTAACAAGTTATGGTACGTTCAGATGACGCCTTGATTTTTATGACTAAAGAAGCATCGGAGTTTATTAGTTTATATAAAATTTTAGCTTTTTATGGCTTTCAACATTAACATAAATTATATTTAACAAAATTTCATTACAGAATTTTACTGAAACTCTCGTTAACATTCGCTGTATTCCGTAGCTAAATTATTTAGAAAAGTCAAATATCAAGCTAATTACGAATGTTTATTGTTGACGTAACTTGGTAATAAGTGCTTATGGTTACAGTTGTTGGCATTTCTGTAGAAGGTAATATCTACTAGGTTTGAAGGTAATCATTTTCGTAATAAGTTACATATTATGTACAACATCGACCTCACGTAACTCCGATTCCATCAACATACATGTAGCTATGAATATTCACAGTACATAGTTACATAGCAGAAATACATGTTCTAAATTCCTTACATCAAATGTAATTAAATAGATAATACGTACATATACCCATCTCATATAATTACAATGTATGATTTTTTTATATAAAAGGAAAAAATAAAATTTGCTGAAAATAAATAAGACAATTCAGTATAATTTCTATATTTAAATATAACGAGCTTTTATTTATTAATAAGTTATTCGACTCGATAAAAGCGTTGTAGAAATAATTAATTTACAGAAAAGTCAGAGTAAATATGTTGTATTTCATAGTGAATATAATTTTTTCTGATCTATTCATGTGGGCAAAATAATGAGGTATGTGTTATAAAACGAGAATTCAACATAAAAAATACAGAGAATTTTACATGTTATAAAGAATATAGTTGCTTTCTAACCTCAATTATGTGGCTTTCACGTATTTCCTTAGTACTAGTATTACAAACTACAGGTACACTCGAATAATTTTTGAGGATTTTATTTGAAGTGTTCATGTCTTATTTCCCTCAGTGTTTCTTAAATATTTTTTTCAACAGGTTACTCATATCAATCCGACATTATACTACCCGGAAGAATTCCAGTATGGGATATTAAGCAAGAAACATCATTTGCGTCAGATCAAAGAATTGTAGGAGGAGAAGAAGCGAATATAGAGGACTATCCTCATCAAGTTGGATTTCTTTTTCAACAAAATAATAACACTTATTTTTGTGGTGGATTTATTATTAGCGAATACTACATCTTGACCGCTGGTCATTGTTCTCAAAAGTGAGTATATAAAAAGTTTTTTAAATACCTTTATCTGTTAAATTAATAAGCTTAAGATTTTATACAAATACACTAGTACCTAAATATAAAACAAACAGAACTTCTTTATGTCGTTGTACCGCTACACATAATTTCTTCTATAAATGTTATTTTAGTGTTGACCCCACGACGGTCGTTCTTCGAGCTGGCAGCTCATATCGTAATAATGGAACTATAATACCAATTGATGAGATTGTCGCTCACCCAGAGTACGACAACCCGCCTTATGACAAAGACGTTGGTTTCATTCGAACCACTGAACCAATGCAATTTAGCGACACGATGAAACCCGTACCACTGGTGTCAAGAAATGAAAAATGCAGAAGCAAAGTTGCCATAAGTGGTTGGGGTCGGACATCAGTATGTATTTATTTTTCAAAGGATTTGTCTATAGATGTATTAAGTGTAACATACAGTAATTTTAGCAAGGAGCACCTACAATACCGCTGAGATTACGAGACGTCAAAGTACCTGTCGTTGGACATTCTAGATGCAAGAGATCATATCCAGATATATTGACTGGTAACATGATATGTGTTGGTAATTACATATTAGGTGGAAAAGGACCGTGTCAAGTAAGTAAGAATTTTAAAACTAATTAGTTGGTATATAATTTGACCCAACAAGAACTAGATTGGCTCTAATATTTGGGATGAAACTCTTGCTCGTTAGGCATATACTACTCATTAGATTTTTTATTCTACTTTATCTATCCATATTTTTATTCCAGCAATTAGTTTAACATGTCCCCCACGGTTTTAAATATATTTATGTATTTGTAAACATTGTTCCTACCAAATTAAAGTGAAATAAATTTGACTCTCATTCCAGGGTGACTCAGGTGGAGCGGTAGTTTACGAGGGTAAAGCTTGTGGTATTGTGTCCTTTGGAAGAATATGCGCTCAACCTTTATCACCGAGTGTTTGTGCTGATATATCAGCTAAAGACATTAGAGATTTTATATTTGATAATACTGGTGTATGAAAAAGTTATAACTGAAGATATTGTATAAGAATAAAATAATAAATACATTATATAATTTATAATGAAAAACAGAAACTTTATTAAAGTGTATATACAAATATATGTCCTCCAGTTAATCTCTTGAGAAAAAAACTGGTAAGTTTCTTTGAAAAAACTTTACTAAGTTGGCACTGCTACTACAATAATCGGAACCAATAACAATAACATTAGTGCTATATTAGTAATTGTAATTTGACATTCATATTTATTTTATTGTAATTGAATCTAAATATCAAAATATAATCACGTTTTGTTTCAACATCATAACGTATTCGAATACCTTGCTGATACAAATTGAACAAAAGATCTTTCAAGTGTACTGTCAAACTGTTAATTAGAAAATTTAAACAATACACTTCTTGCAGAAACTTAAAATGCATTGTATTTAAACGCATGTTCCTTATAAGTTCTTGACTATTTCCTGTTTCTTTTGTCAACCTGATTACCGCCAGTTCTAAAGATTTTCAATAACTCTCAACAAAAAAATTGTAGAATATAAATATTTATGAATAAAAACCCTAGAAAAAACATTGAATGAAAACATAACTACAAATACATATGCCTAATTTACATTTGATCTTATACATATACTTGACGTGTATATTATAAACTGTGTTGATGTAACGCCTCTTCGGAAATTAACTAAAAAATAAATCGGTTAATTCAAATAATTTTAAAGCAGAGTATTATCTATAGAACATAATTTCGTTATCCATAACATTAGTAAAGTACAACAGTTAAATTAGCAATATATTTTTGTCACCTAACAAATTTACTCAGTATGAAAATAATAATATATATGTATTTATATGTACAGCGAAAAACAAATCTCGTAACTGTTTACATTCTACTAATCGCGTTTTACATTACTTATTGATTATATGGATTCTTCGGTAGCGACAGAATTAAGACGTTCCAAGTTAAAAGATTTGATGAGATTACTCTCAAATTAGTAAATTCAGATGCCTCCGAAGGCTCTCTGCGGGTATGGGGTAGACGATCGACCTTCTACAAGCTTTCAATATGTAATGACCGTTATTCATCATGGATTATCCGAAGGCTTTCTATGAAGTGTTGAGCCTTAATGCTAATGTAAAGACAGTCTTAATATATTGCTTGACACAGTCGGTGGTGAAAGGTATCATTCCTAAACTTCCCCTCCTCTGCGAGGATTTTGTCAAGAAATTTATTTATTTTTTCTTAATACTATAAATGAGTTTTAATTAAGATGATCACGACTTTGCTAGATTTTTATTATCTTTTATCAGTCAACCAGATCTTTTTTTCATTCCATCCACGGCATAAATAAAGAAATTATCTAGAAAAAATAACTTTAAAAGATTTTTAGTACAAATAAATAGAATATCCAAATAGAGAAAACATTTTTTCTCCGTTTTATAATTAAGTTTTGAACGCAAATATTAAATTACCATACACAAATTTGTATATTGTTCTCATTTTATTCGTGTGGAAAATACAATAATGTTAAATAATATCGAAGCTTTGCTTGATGGTTCATAAAAATGTATGTGATATAAAGCGGATTTCGCAGTATATGGAATATTACATTTTTAAATTGCTCTGTTAAATTTACTAGAATTTGATTCAGATTTATGAGGTTTAGTGAGGTTTGTTTTAATAACTCGCATAAAATGAATTTATCATGAGAATAAATTTCATATATTTGAACATTGTTGAATTCTTACAGATATTATTTTATTATAAAATATGTACGCTTATTTGTTTCTCACACGAGTAAGGTTTTATGAAAATCTAAACAAAGTTGTGTATATAATTTAATTCAACTATTTTCATATAGGTGTTTAAAAAAACTAATAGATTAATTTTTTGCAAAGTTGTAATAACATTTGTATAATACTTAAATTTAGTTTGCAATAATATCGTATGAATAACGTTAACTTCATGAATAATTTGAAAACATTTTAAGTGGGAGTTATGTCAAGAATTGGGAAGAAGTAAGCCTAGTAAAGTAAAGAGATTTCATGAGTGAGGTATCAAATTAAGAATCTTCCAGAGCAGCCTTCCTATCGCGATCTAAATACTTTTAACCAGTTCACAGCTCTAACTTTGATAAATTTTGTATTTAACAATTATTAATCTCTTTATTATAATTTAAATAGCATGTTTGTGAATCTATTCAGGTTACAAAGTTATATCAAACATGTATCGAGCTTGTAGTTCCCTATTCGAGTAAAACTATAAGTGGAGCGTGTTAACTCCGGAGTGTCGATGAATTCCAAGTTCTGTTTTCTATTCATGGATTGTTTTATGACTCGTTATCCCATCCTTTACAACGAACCACTTCTGAACACAGACCTTTATTCCAGTATCTCAGCTGCTGACTGTGTTCATTAGTTAATATTTAAATACAACAATTTAGTTCATTGTAATTTTGGTTTAGCTACAATCAATTTTAGCGACATTAAGTAAAAGTAAACCCAGGATATTTTTCTTGTCATTTGCAATTATGATGTTCTTTAAATAAAATTAAAAGACAGCAGTAATTTTATCATTCAGCAGAGGATTTGTTTTGATGTTATTTATACGAACAGGTTTGAAATCACCAACCCGTCTTGAGCAAGCGTGGTGATTAATGCTCAAAACCTTCTCCATGTGAGAAGAGGCTATGCTCAGCAGTGGGCGTTGATAGGCTGATAACATACGAACAGGTATTAATTTATTAGATCTATGTTTGACGTGGCGTTATTCAGAAGTAACTTATCGAATAAATTTAGAATAAATACATTAATTGAGTGTATTAAATTAAAAAGAAAATAGAATGTGTTGACGAAATGAAAATCGAGGTGAAAATGAAAATGGAGGTGAAGGTTCTAGCGAGAGTAGGTATATAAAAAAAAATTCTATTTGAATTAAAAATAGGGTTAACATAATGGAAACTTGATAAATACTTTAAAACAAAGACGGATAAAATAGAAAATTATATGTACAAGATACATAGCCATAATTATAATTATTCTATAGAATATGTTGTTTATTTCAAGTCCTAGAATATTTAATTAAAACAATGATTAATGTGATCAAATAAACATACAGAGGTTGTTGTTCAGAAGATATTCAAATTATATTAAAGTACTAGTTTGTTCTCGACACTGAAAACTGATTATACAAATGTGCTGAAGTTGTTCCCTGAATATTGTTGAGAAATATCGATTATATTATTAAGCTTATAGTTTCATTTTACACAATATACACTAGACGTATTTTAGTCAAATCGTGCTATTTATCCAAATTATATTTTAAAATTATGTTTAGGAAACAAACAAACAATGGAATATATTTCTAGAAATGTTTTTGTAGAATTAAATTGAAAGTTACTATTCTTTTATATTCTAAAGGCTCATTATATTAAATTAATGAAAAAATTAATACTCCCATTTTTATATGATACTTTTACACTCTAAATATTGTACAAATAAAAATCATTATAACGAGAACTTCAAAGTACTAAAATATATTGTTATTTGTAAATGTAATGTATCCACAGTAATTAAGAATATCTAGGTAACAATTATTTACCGTGCTAAAATAAACATAGCGTCGTTTAAAACGAACGGTGGCGTGTAAATCAATCAGACGTCGGTGTTCCAGTGACGTCTGTGATCACGGCACCATACATTCGCGTGCGAGTATTAGGCATCTGCGCTACTGACCTGACAACCTATACGTGCAGGCCTCGTTTATATTTAAAAAAAACTTTTTATGAAAATCGTTTCTAAAACTACCATTAATTTACGAAGACAGTGTATCTTTACCATTTACTATAGGGTACTTTTAACTGTAATATTGCAAAATCATTATGTTATAAATATTATGTCAGCACATTCATTCCTTTTATTCCATATCTTATATAGAAATTGGTTAATCAACAAAAAGTTGTTACTTTCTTATACTTCAACTAATACTTACATGAGTCTAATGCCTCAACAAAATTACGTGATGTGTCTGACAATATAAAGGTCTTAAGTTTATTCCAGCAGTTAAGCGAAACTTCACTAAATGGATTTTATATTCTTTAACGATTTTAGCTAAATTTAGGATTTTTTTACACTTCAAGAAAAAAATGGTAAAACAACTATAGTAGTATAACAGATTTGCTCAACCTTATTGCACTGAAAATGCAATTAATTAATATTGATGAATATACCTATCATAAAATAAAAATAAATCGTCTGTAAATTAAAAAAAATCAAACCTTTAAAATCATATTTATAAAGGTATACGTCTCGTGGCAACTTTAGAAGCCACTGCGGCAACTAATAGCTTTTCTTAATTTACCTTTTACCCCGCGTTATTCGACTAGAGCGATCTCCTTTTAGTTTTCAGCGACCAAGAAATTACTGTGAACGGAATATTTTTACTCCAATTTACTTGCCAGAGCAATATTGCTTTTATAATTACAAGGATAAGAGTTGTAAAATTTTATGTTTGTACATTATAAAGGTTTAATACGGGTTAATTCGTTTCATTGTTCTGTCTCTGTTGAAAATGGTCAAAATCCACGATATAAATTAACTCTGTTTTTATATAATGCGTAAAATTTGATAACGGTTCATGTTTAAATTTTTAATAAAGTTCATATGTACAGATAACCCCTGTTATAAGCATCTATGATTAGATATTGTTTTTAAAAATTGTAAATGTTGAAAGGGAATCTATTAAAATTTGAGGTTAAATGTTTCTTAAAATAATGGCCTTAAATGTATTTCCTTTCATATAAATAGTATCTTTTTTCATGTAATTTATAATGTTTAAACTTTTAATGAGTGGTGTAAGGTAAGAAATTCAGTCCCCAGGATTGAATATAATATTTACTTTAAATATAACAAGAAAAACAATCTGTTTCTAAATCATTTTTTAAATACTCATATAGTATTTTTATTTTTTCATTTAGTAGTTTATATAGCATATTAAAATTGTAT